TAGCTGTCCAATTAATTTCTTCCTATTTTTAGTAGAGACGGGGTCTCGCTCTTGCTCAGGCTGGTTTCGAACTCCTGAGCTCAAACAATTCGCCCACCTCGGCCTGCCAGAGAGCTAGGATTACAGGCGTGAGCCACTGCGCCCGGCCATCACTGCTGTTTTTTTAAGAATTGCCTTTCAAAATGAAATACATCCAGTGAAACATTTTCCACAGCCAGGTTAAAGTTCAGAATTTTAAAGGCCAGGCTGAGGCCGGTTTGTTTAGCTGTGTGTGGTGTCCGCATGTGGCTAGAACCCCAGCTTCTTCGACAAGTTCCTGGATTCTCTGGGTCTTGCTTGCCTGTCTGGGTAATGTGTGCAGGCACCTGTCCAAATGGTGCTGCTGATGCCACAGGAACCCCGGACGTCAGTGGTGTGCCCACTGTAGGAGTGTCCCCTCCGCCCCCAGCAAACCTCAACAAAACACAACGTAAGGACACATCTGGCACCCCATAGATGTCCTACATGTGCACTGCCTCCCTGCAGGCCCAGGGTGTGAGGGGATGTGACCACAGAGGAAGGTGCTGTGACTGAAAGGAGAGCCACCTCTGCCCGTCCACGAGGAGCTGGGCACGTAGCGCTTGGGGCCCAGCTGGGCAGACGTGGTTGGGCCACCTCCAAGGATGTGGGTCCCTCTCCGTTGGCACCATCTGTCATCTGCACTGTTTACTCTGGCATGACTCCTTTCAGAGCACACTCACTGCCTCTGCCTGTGTCTGCTCTAACTCGAGGTTGGACCTGAGAGCCAAGGGCCCTGCGCACTGGTCCTGACACCTGCTCCTGGGGCCTCCCCAGAACACCAGCACCCAGAGCCTTGGCAGGACATCTGACCCAGCACTGCCGGATGCCCCAGGACTAAGGGTTTTCCTGCCCTGTGACTTCTGACACCGTTTTTGCCTTTTTAACACTCCCTACATCTTAAACTGAAAACAAGATGCATTTTATGGCCCAAATACAGAAAAGAGCCTGAAGTCCCAGGTGACACTCAACTGCTGGAGCTTGTGGGGAAGAGCCAGGCTGATGGCTCCTTCCCTGGCTCTGGTGGTTATCTTTGACTCAGGCCACTGTTTCTGGAACATGAGAAACCCCAAACCGACGCTGAAGGCTGCCTCCCCAGCACTGACCTTCCTGCTCACGCCCAGTCTCCTTTTCCCTGCAGGCCACACCATGCGTGTTTTCCTGTGTTATGAACCAGGTGTAGGACAACTATTTCTAACAGCTGCCCGGGAATCTCTTTGATGGAAACATCTTTACGTATTTAACTTCCTGTTAGGTACTTGGGTCACTTCCAATTCCTGGTATCAAATTATGCCCTGTTGAATATTTTGGGTATGTAGGTTTTCCCATAATTAGAATTATTTCCTTAGGATCAATTCTCAAGAATTTGGTTGCTAGATAAATGGGTGTGAATACACTGACAATTCTAGAGCGTACTATCGAACTGCTTTCCAAAAGAACCATGCTCATTCACGGCACTGCCAGCAACACTCAAGGCTCCCCCTGGACAACACGGAGCGTGAGATTTTGGCGTGTGGCCCAACTTTAGGTTACAAACATGGCACTGACAGTGTTTAATTCGTATTTCTTTACTATTAGAAGGGCTGAAGATTTTCCCACTCTGTATGAGTTGAATTCACTCTTTTTTAAAAAATATAATCTAGATATTTTGCCTATTTGTTTGGGGGTTAATGCTTTTATCCTCGTTTTGTGTAAGCTCTATTTTAACAGAGATCTTACGCTGCCACATTTACCACAAATGTTTTCTGAAGGCTACTTTCCTTCTGTTTTGGTTCCGGATATACACAGTCAAGTCTCTATCTTTCCTTTGTGGTTCTCCCTTTCTGTATGTTTAAAATAATTAAATTTAAACTTATCTTCTCATAGAACTTCTGAAAATAAGCTTAATGAAAAATTTCTTGTATTTAAAAAAGTTATTTTAATCCTTGTGTCTTGTCTGTTTATTACAGTAGTACATGTTCATTATAGAAAACTTGGAAAACATAGAAAAATAAAGAAGGAAGAAGAAAACAAAAATCATCTGTACTCCCAGGACTCTGTGTTGGAAACATCATGTTATATTTCCTTTGAGATTTTGCACACACGTGTGTGCATAGAAGGAACTGAGAAGATAATCGCTGGGTTAATGACTCACAGTTTTGCGACCAGCTCTTGTCCCTGGGCAGGGTGCTGCCAGTTCTCCTGATTTTTGGTGTGTGACATGAGACGTGGGCCCAGACAAATTTGTTTTCCAAGTTGCCAATCAGTTATACCAACACCATAAGAAAAACTTGAAATAGAAATATCAAATCTTAGTGAGACCACTGCAGGCGCAATGAGTGCAAGTCCTCGCTGCAAGGCTGGCCCCAGGGTCTGCTCACCGGGTTATCTGACCTGTGAAGACTGGAGTAATGTGATTTGTGAGATCATTATGGGTGACACTCAGTAAAAACACAAAATTAAACACACTGGGCCCCCCTCTCCAAGAGACATGGAGGGTGGTGATGGAGGGTTTGGGGTCCTGCCCGTCTATCAGCTGTGTGCCCCTGGGCAGGTCAGTGAAGTTCTCTGCGCCCCAGTGTCCTCGTCAATGAAAAGGGGTCAATAGTTCCTACCACAGAACAGCGATGAGGATGTAATGCTGTTGGTGAAGCAGTTAGGACAGTGCCTGGCACAACAGTGTGCAATACTGTTAACAATCATTAGCATTTTCTTTTTTAATATGGAAACATGGTCTCGACTGCACTTGAGAAGAGTAATTTTGGGTTTTCACCTGGGCTTCAGTACTAGGCCATCAAGACCAACCCTCTGGCAGGTCCTGGGCCGCCTCCAACAGCGACGACCAATCTCTGTGATGTGCAGGAGTCACACATTAATAGGATGTATCCTTAGACCCAGAGCGTAATCACAGCACTTTATACAACCAGAAAGGGGTGGTGACACCACTCAGAGGTGTGCGAGGGTGCGGCGCACGACAGAATCACAGAAGCAAGTGAAGAAAAAACTATTGCACTCGACATGTTTATAGTTACTTGGAAACAATAAATCACAATTTCTTTAAGGAAAACTTCACTAAAATCTGAAGTGTGCATTCTACATCTGTAATAAAGTATCATAAAGTCACACTGTTCATTTCAGGAAGTGCCCGAATTTGGAAGCTCATGGAGAACTGATAAAATGTTGAAGTTTCAGAGGGGCTGGGGCCACGTCCTTCTACCTCACATGCTCAAAAGACCACTTTGGTTGGATGTGCTAAATTCTGCAATAAAATTTAGATGTATTTGAAGAATACAGACTACAAAAGAGGCCATGAAAAATCACATTTTCAAGGTTTAACATAAAAAATGTGTGCCCGGGCACACTTTAAAGAGCCATGTCACAGTCTTTAATATGATGTTCTTAGCATTTTAAAAGGTTTTGTTCCTTAAAATGCTTGTTCTCCATAAGCAAGAGTGACTATCAGCTATTTTTAAAAAATATGCCTCAGTTAAAAATAGCTCAGTTAGTTCTGGTTCACGCAGAAACCTCTTGTGTCTGCGATGACGGCGGCCGCAGCCCCATGGGGACTCACCTGACTGAGAGACGACCACGCTGAACTGCGCAAGCTCTGGAGAGTGCACAGTCCAGTCACCGTGTGACGCGGTCAAGCGCTCCAGCAGGGGGCCCATGTGCTTGCGATACAGGTCCTGGCTGCCGCTGACGCTCTCCACTGTGGCCAGCGCAGCCACTGCCTCCCGAGCCTGGAAGTAAAAATCAAAGGTTGAGATGATTGCCATTGTTAAGGCTCAAACTTCCTCCTGGAGCCTCATCTTAGGGTAGGAACCACTCAGGCCCATCAGGAACATTCCACCAGGAGGGGGCTGTACCACGGAAACCCTCGGGGGAGAGCATGGGCTGCAGGCAGCAGAGCTGTGGCCTTGGTTCCCACGCGTGTTAATGCTGTTTGTGCGTCGGACGATGAAACGGGCAAACTGTCTACGGAACATCACATGCCGGCCCTGGGTTTACACAAAGCCAGTGGAGGACAAGTGGCTCTGGGGCTGGGGGGGGGACCTGAGGAGCTGAATGAAGACCACATCCCCCAGGACTGGCCTCGCCTTCCTGTCTCGGCTTTCACCCAGCCAGCGCTGGTCTGGAGGGGTGGAGGGTGGGAGGTGACTAGAGATGAGCTGGCCAGCCACCCTGAAACCCGCGCCTTTCTCCTGTGGTCCAAGGACATCAAGTGCTCGAGGCTCCCTTGTGGCCCGACTCCGAGGCCAGGGGCTGCTCTGCAGACTAGCCAGTCCTGCGGCCACTCAGGAGCTCAGCGAAGACTCCGCTTTTGCTGGTATTTACAGCCCTACCAGTGACGAGCTGTCAGCTAAGACACATGCCCTTTGGAAAGGCCGTTTTTAGAGAGAGAAATAAAACTAAGGTTAGAGAGGCCCCAAGAAGGGAGAGGGAGGGAGCAGGCCTCCCTGACTCAAGGTTCCCTTTGGAGCTTTCAGCCTAAAATATCCCAAAGAGACTCTGACTGATGCTATCCAGAGAAACCAAGTCTCAGCTCCAGGAGGAGCAGTGAGATACCCGGTCTCCAGATGGCCCTGGGAGCCCATGGGCAATTTGGGGTAAAAAGAATTTTAAGCATAAATATAGAGCCAATGGAACAGAAATAATTCTGTAAGGCAATCACAGTAGGAAAATCACGCAGTATTCTCTCTCCAGATGTTCAGTAACACACACACATTCTTTAAAGCCCCACCCCAAAGCACGGGTTTAAACACTACGACAGTCTTGTTTCTTGTTTGCTTCTTTGCCACCGACTCCGAGATTAAACATTTGTCTTCAAGCCAGACGCTAACATGCGCTGGCGGGTGCGGGGACATCCCCAAAGGCTACCTCAGGACAGCTCTTCCATCCTTGCTGCTCAGCTCAGGCAGGTACCGAGGAGGAGGTTTATGGGAGACGGTTGTATCGCTGTACACGGCCTTCCCAGGTGTGAGCTCCACCAGGCCGCGCAGCGGCAGGCGCCATCAGCCTTACCTTGTCACTGAGGCTGGTGGCACCTGAGGCAGCCATGATGGTCACCAGCACTTCCAGGAGCTGCAAGCCACAGCTGCAGCAGTTCTCGCAACACACGGAGATGAGGGCCTGCACACACAGCAGCAGGCGCTCCAGGTAAAGGTCCTGGGAAGAGAGCAGTGCAGGGTCAGGCCTCAGCCCCCATCCCACCCCCAAGGCTCATGGGTGATGGGGACAGAGCCACTGTGATAATCCCAGGCTCCAGGCTATGGATTTGGGCACACAGACCACGTTAAGGGCGTGTTTGGGACAGCATGGGAGACAGAACATAGACTGGGGGGGATTCACACTCATTTTCTGAAATGCTTAATGGTACTTTAGTTACATTAATATTTTAAAAAGTTCTTACATGGCAGCAAGACATGCTGTGGTATTTGCAAGTGAAATGACAGCACATCTTAGATTTGCTTTACAACGCGGCAGAGTTCTCCTCACCCCCAACAAAGTGAAAAAAAAAAAAAAAGTGGCACAAGCAGATGTGAGAGCAACTCGAAAGAGTTGGTAACTATCGAAGCCAGGGTCAGGTGCGTGAAAGCTCATTCTGCTGTTCTTCCTACTTCTGTGTATTTTTGAATATTTCTGTAATATTAAGTTTTAACAAAAAACAAACACAATTCTATGGTTCAGAGATGCTTCCTGATCGATGGGGCAATGTCTCAACTCTGCTCCAGAGGTGGGCCTGTGAAATCACTGCCCATCCTGCTTTAGCTGCTGCCACTACTCACTGGGGAGGCCGCAGCCTGCAGGGGAGGTGCATGCCAGGGAACCCAAGAGGAATTTCCAAGGCTTCTACTTGTATTTACTTTTTTTCTTTTTTTTTAAAAAACAGAGTCTTGGCCAGGCACGGTGGCTCGCACCTGTAATCCCAGCACTCTGGGAGGCCGAGGCAGGAGGATCGCTCAAGGTCAGGAGTTCGAGACTAGCCTGAGCAAGAGCAAGACCCTGTCTCTACTAAAAATAGAAAGCAATTAGCTGGACAACTAAAAACATATAGAAAAAATTAGCCAGGCATGGTGGCGCATGTCTGTAGCCCCAGCTGCTCGGGAGGCTGAGACAGAAGATTACTTGAGCCTAGGAGTTTGAGGTTGCTATGAGCTAGACTGATGCCATGGCACTCTAGCCCGGGTGACAGAGCAAGACTCTGTCTCAAAAAAACTCAAAAAAACAGAGTCTCGCTCTGTCACCCTGGGTAGAGCACAGTGGTGTCATCATAGCTCACTGCAGCCTCAAACTCCTGGGCTCAAGCAATCCTCCTGCCTCAGCCTCCCAAGTAGCTGGGACTACATGTGTGGCCACCACCCCCGGCTAATTTTTCTACTTTTGTAGAGACGGGGTCTTGCCCTTGCTCAGGCTGGTCTGGAACTCCTAGGCTCAAGGGATCCTCCCGCCTCAGCCTCCCAGAGTGTTGGGATTACAGGCGTGAGCCACCATACCCAGCCTGTATTTACTTCTTATGACACCCTCTAACAGGACTCCTTTATGTTTCGTAAAGTCAGAATGAGTCAGGATAGTGGTCGTGTACACACTTTATAAATACGATTTACAAACAAGTGCATATATATTGAAAGTATATGGTTAAACTTTGTTCTTACTGATGCGGATATGAGTTCAAAAAAGTTTGCTATGTGGCTAGACAGTGGATTGGTCCTAAATTTCTCAATCAGTTCTACAATCCTGTGACTCATTCACCAGTGATATACAGAAAGCACCAAGTTTAAACAAAAAATGCTCACTGCATGACAGCAGTTGGTCCACGCACTCCCAGACCCTGCGCTCCCAACCCATTGAAGGTGCAGACCTGTGCGGCGTGTCTTAGAAGAACTGGGCGCCCCCCACCACTGATGGGGAGCACTGGGTGCCCCAACTCCCAGGACAAGCCACCGGTCTATGTTTTTATTCCAGCCTTTACTTTCTCACGGCCCAATTTCTTTTACACCTGGACTGATTGATTGATTTCTGAGGATACGATCTTGGCAAATTTCTAGAATGACTTGTAATATCAATTTAAGGAGCTTTCATTTTTTAGTTCAAATCAAAAGGAATAGTCTTTTAGAAGACATGGGCCACTGCTTTTGCTGAGCTGCTTGCTACACGCCCGCATGCTGGGCGCATGAGAACCCTGTGTCCTCACAGCAAGTGCCGCCCTCGCGCTGCGAATACGGCAACATCTCTGAGGAAGCAACGAGGCTTCACATTTATAGACTTCTCTATATTTAACCAGAGACTGTTCAATGTCTGCCTACACACACCCAGAGAATGAAAAAGAAAAAAAGATACGGCAAGAAATAATACTCAATATTTTTTGCTCCTGAAACAATGTTATCTAAGATCGTAAAAACTTTAATTCACTAGATAAAGTACTAGAGACTTTCATATTTCCAGTAACAGCAACGCTATCCCTGAACTTTGCTTTTCCGTAGTCAGGCAGAAATTGATGAGCCATGTCGTGTTCAGTCATCTGTCACTAAACAGGGAGGAGCAGGGTCCCTTCAGCTGCGCTCCAGGCCCAATGCTCAGCCCAGGACACCTGGGGAAGCAACTTTTACTAAAAAGCCAAATTCCTGCTAACCACAAAGATATAGTTTGAGTCAGATTTGCAGAATCTGAATACAGATCTAGAATACATCTTCATGAACTTCATTTTGCCTAAAACAGGATTTTTAAAAATTTCAGTTTATTCTTGAAAGAGGAATGCTGTATCTTGCTATATCTTAACCTCTTCTTACAGCTACTGAAAAATAATTGTGGGAAACATAAACTATTTCCCAAATGGCATTATATAAACAAAGTGTGTGTGTCTCCCCCAACCCTGCCACGAAAAAGAACACAGAGCTGTGCTTGACTCCGAAACAGATGACTGGCTGAGACCTGAGGGTGTTCACCCTTTCTTGCCAAAAATTTAAGTGTGTTAAGAAAGGAGTAAAACAGGCTGGGCGTGGTGGCTCACGCCTGTAATCCCAGCCACTTGGGAGGCTAAGGCAGGAGGATCACTTGAGTCCAGGAGTTTGAGACCAGCCTGAGCAACATATTGAGACCCTGTCTCTACAAAAAATAAAAAAATTAGCCAGGCATGGTGGTGCACGCCTGTACTTCCAGTTACTTGGGAGGCTAAGGCAGGAGAATCGCTTGAGCCCAGCAGTTTAAGGTTGCTGTGAGCTAGGCTGACCACCATAGCACTCTAGCCCAGGTGACAGTGCAAGACTCTATCAAAAAAAAAAAAAAAAAGGAAAGAAAGGAGTAAAACGTATGCCTTGGGATTTTATGACAGCTGGTTCCTTAGCCTGGCCAAAAGGCTAGAATACATTCATACTCTGGAAGGATGTAGGGCTGGCTTCACCAGGGACCCTTAGGTGTGACTGGACTTGGTCAGAAGGGTCTCTCTTCCTCTAAAAGACTGAGTAAATTTTCCTCAATAAAAAGTGGAAGAGGAGGGGTCAAACACAGGACCTGAACTTGCTAGATCAGGTGATTAGATTTTTCTGTAGCCAACATTAAGATACGAAAATCACATTTTCTTTGCTATAAAGTTTGTAAAATACACAATTAAATACTTACATATATTTTCAAGTTATAGCCTTCTAGAAAAGAATGCTTCTGGCTAGCAAATCTATATATAGGAATCAGAATCACTCTCGGAACCACCTGTGAGTAAAAATGCGGAACTTACATAGATTCGATGATATGTTAGAAATGAATTTTGGGAAAAGCTGAAATGGGGCTGCAAACACCACATGTGGACAGCCTACCCCATTCTCCCGAGACTGCAGCTCGATCTCCCTCTGTGCATTTTAGAGACGGTCCTACAGGTTTATTAAAATGGTTTACAAACACGGTTGTGAACTGTGCCGCCCTCTCGTTTTAAGGGCAGAAAGGGCCTTGACAAAAGACAGGGACAAGCTGAGTGCAGAGCTGCCCCCCAGCTTTGTGGCCGTAACTACTAAGCTGCAGCGAGCGCCAGCCCCGTCACTGCAGAGGATGGCGGGTGGGGCAGACCCTCATGCTCTGGAACTGCAGGAAGGTCAGCGCACAGCCTAGCGCTAAGGGACAGGGGTTACGCCCATCACAGCCAAACAAAAACCAGTCATTATTTTTTCTTCAGTAAAAAACAATTATAAATTATTCCAAATGATTAAGCCCAACTATCTAGGTTGTTTCAGCTTCAGATGTAATGGATTTACTGCTCAATTTAAAACGAAACAAATGTGTTTGGCAAACATCAGGTTGGCTACTTTAAGCGCATTAGCTGCCGAGTGATGTTGGTGCAGAATGATCTCCCAGTGACCACTGAGACCAGGCACAGACCCACGGGCAAGCTGTGCGCCTTGTCTCTCAGGAGTGGTAGGCACGGCTGCCCTCAGTGCCAGTCACAGGCCCTGGGACCACCTGCAACAACACGGTCCAGTAGAACTTCCCTCAGAGCACGCGTGTTCTGTCCTGAGCTGTCCAACAAGGCAGCCACTGGCCCACATGTGAGATGTGGCTGGGCGACCAAGAAGGAGAAATTGTAATTAACTTAAATGGCCACTTGTGGCCAGTGGCTACAGTGCTGGACAGAGCAGAACGAGGTCCCTACACAAGAGGCCACTGGCATAAGCATCCAGGCTATGCAGTGGGCCTGGCACGGACACGGCACCGGGCCAGACTGATGGCCGCTGTCAGGAACAACACTCAGCACTGTGCGGAGACACCTCGGTGCTCTGCTTCCCGCCCTCTCCCATGTGCTCTTACGTTCTCAGATGCTTGGCAGACACGGGGCTGTGCCAGCTCTGTGGTGATGACCTTCACGTGCGGCTGGAGGGCTTCCCGGGGGCAGCCTTGAATGGCAGATGCCAGCACCAAGAGGCTGGAGGGGGAGGGCGACTTCTTCAGTGTTGCCAAGATCAGCCTCAGGAACACCTCCGGGCTGACAAACGTCCCGATCAGCTCTGCGGATCTTGTGCACTGCGAGAGGGAAACATGAGGAAGCTGAAGGTCTGAGAACACCACCTGCTCTACGCCCCTCAGGCCTGGCCTGGCAGGGCTGCCTGCCCACCAGAGACAGCCTGAGTGGGAAATCGTGCTCTCATGAGCACTCAGCACACTCATCCTGTGTCCCTTAGAACTCCCATGGGAGAAGGCCCCAGGCCAGTGCATAGGACGCATGGTTCGAGGCAGCGAGGGCCTGGCTCATGGGAGGCCACGTCCCAGCAGCTGGGCTCCCTCCATGTAACCCTCCTCCGATACCAGTGACCTAAACGTCTTATTAACAAACAGATAAACACACACCAGCATCTCCGTGCCCTGGAAACCTGCTCAGCTATGAAAAGGAACAACTATTGATCCATGCAACAATGGGGGCTGGTCTCAGGGCATTGTGATGAGCGACAAAAGCCAGTCCCCAAGGCCACACACTACACAGAGATGAGAACAGACCAATGGCTGCCAGGAGGGGGTGAGTAGAAAGGGCTGCGGAGCAGCTCTGTGGTGGGGCCAGGCACCTGCGTGGGCCAGCAGCCCGCACCAGTGGGCTCCTGGCTTTGACAGTCATGCAGATGGAGGCCCTGGGCGGGGTGGGGTGGGGGGGGAAGGGCACAGGGACCTCTCTGTGCTCGCTGTCCAACTACCTGGGAATCTGTAACTATTTCAAAATAGAAAGCTAAACAAAAAACTAAAAGAACCCCCAAAAAACAAAACAAAAAAATGAGAACTCACTCTGTCTACCTGCTGCCCCTGACCCCCAACTCCTACTTGTTGGAGCCCCTGCGTGTGCAGAGCAGAGGACGCCAGCAGGAGTGGCCAGGCTGGACCCTGACCACCCGACCTGGCTCTGAGGGCTCCCGTGGCACAGAGGTCCCAGCCGGGTTTCTCCTCCTCCCTGTCTCTCCACCTCTCCCCCTCTCTTCCCCTTCACGCCGCTGTGACTTGTCCCGGCTCTGGGTCCACAGAGCTGGGCCTGGTGGGGGAGGTGGAGGTGGAAATCTGACATGCTCTACAGCTGAAGTCGCTGGAACCCAGGAGACCACACACCCCTCAACAGGACAAAGAAAGAGGAAAGGCCAGTGTTGTCATGGTGGGCACAGAAAGCTCGAAATGCCAGGTGGGTCCCGGCCCCCATTCCCTGGCATGTCACTCAGCGGAAGAGGGAAAACAGTGATCAGATCTCAACGTGAACCAACCTGTGGCAAAAAGACCCAGGAAACTGGACCGGGTGTTGGACACATGCGGGAACCGTCACTCGCCTAGCTTTAGGTGTGGCTGTGGCCCTGCACCCGAGTGAGAAAGAAAAGGCCTTTGACACTCAGGCAGAATCAGTCAAGGGCTCGATCTGCTTCCAAGGCCCCACCGTGACCCAGGATGGGACAGCACAACAATGACAGTGGGTGAAGCTGGGACAGCTCCTGGGCTCGACACAGGGCTCTCTCTGTTTTTATGTGGATAAGGATTTCCATATAAAAAGTAAAAACCACAACACTGAAGTCACAACACCAACCATCTGTCAGGAAGGGCCTGGGAGGCTGAGGCCAGGCAGCCCGGCCCCCGCGAGGGCCCTGGCCTACCCACTACAGCAGGGCCCGCGCGGAGACCAGCCTGCCTTCTGCCCACCCTCACCGCGGCCCTGAGCCATAGGCTGCCCCGTGCACACCACCGCGGAACCTCAGTCCTGAAGGTGCCCTGCAGACCACGTGCTCGGAGGCTGGCCATGCACGAGACACTCTGAACAGTCCTATAACAAAGAAACCTTAACTGTGTTTAAACTAATGTTTCCCAAACTTACTTGGCTGGGCCCCCTTCTTCCAAGAACTACCGTTAGTTAACACATCAGGACCAGGTCCCTAGGCGTGTGCCAGCCCCCGAGACAGGCTCATGCATCCCAGACAGTGGAAAGGGAGCACAGAGGCGCTGGTTCAAACAGCAGCGGCTGCAGCCATCGGAGATTGTGCTGAGGTGTGTCCAGTGTCTGGGGACAGTGGCTTTATTATTTGGTAGAGAAATAAATCCTTTTGAAAATCCAACTAAAACTATGGGTTATTTCTCTAGAAAGTTCCAAAGTCTCACAGAATTCTGGCTCGGGCATGGTGCTCGCAGAGCAGCGGGTGGCCTGCACACTGTGGCGTTCGTGTCTAATTCCACTAAGTCCCCAGAGGGCCCGTGCTGGGGAACCCGCTGCAGCTACTCTTAACTGGGTTCACCCGGAACACACCCTCCATGGACCGTGGTATGGCACGTTCTCTCTCCAAGTCAGCCTGTGTGGCTGACATCCCCACCAGCCCCGGCCTATATCACAGAACGTTCGCTGATGCTAACCATCACTTAGTCATCCTGTCCTGTGTAAAATCAGATTGGGGGATACAGGATAACATCGAACAGAAGTTCAAAAGTTTCGTATGGAAGGATATGGTTAACAAAAAAGAAAACTTGCACAAAGTTTGGCTGCTAGAGTGACAAACCTGATATCCAAAAATTGAAGTTATATGCCACATAAAGGATTATATACGACAATTTTAAATTGATGATAGTTTTTGAAAAGTAGAAAAAAATCAAACAACTCATGCCATGTAAAGAACAGGCTTAAAATGGCTTTTTTCTAAAATGTGCAAATTGCAACATTTACTCTAAATCAGTAACGGTGACCTAGAACAGTAAAAACCAAACCTATTAGCAAAAGTTTCTGTGCGATGGAATCTGAGATTTAAGATGAGAAGGGTATTTTGGACTAAAACCTCCAGTAAAAGCTTTAGTCATTCCCCCAAGCACCAGAGCGTGCTCACAGGTAGCTCCTGTCTGCACGTGGTGGCCTCGCTCTGACAGTCACATGAGAAGGGTGTGGGCTGGACGTGAGGTTCCCTTGCTCTTATCCACATGAGCGCCAGGGCGCTAACCTCCAATACAGCTGTCAATGGGCCGGGAAAAAGAGGAAGGCACCAGGGACAACAACCGGCTGGACACCTGGGGCTGCCGGAGCGTCTGCCTGGGTCACCCACAGTCCTCACAGGCTGGGAAGGGCCCAAACGCCCCACACAAGGAAGCTGAACTCCCAGGGTCTCCGTCTCTGTAGCAGCCCGGTCCTGGGATGCAGCTACTGTGTCTGGTGAACGACAGGTTCACAGGACACTCACACAGAATCACACACCCGACTGTGCCTGGAGACAAGCACAGAAGATTCACCTTCAACACACTGTCATTTACAGGACAGAAACAGGCCAGCAGTCACCCAGGTGGGCGACCTAGGGGTGAGGGGAGCACGCCACTTCTCAGCTGTGGTGGTGACGACATAACCCATCTGCCTATCATCAGGACAGGCCTGCTCATCCACAGTGGGGACTGCACTAGCTCGAGTCAGGTCTCCGTGAACACGACCAGAACAAGGCAACTCACGCTGCTGACCACGGCTGCCTCCTCATCCGCGCAGGCCTGGAGCAGTGTCCTCAGGACCACCTCGAGGTGCTGCGTGACGTGGTCCTCGGCGTGGAGCAGTAGCACCGGCAGCAGCTGCGCTGCCTTCACCCTGGTCGCCACCACCCAATCGGAGATGTCTCGGCAGAGGGCGGGGAGGACCTTGGACAGGTTCCTGGACACCAGCTCCCGACAGCCCAGCACAGGACGGCTCTCTAGGGGGTGAAAAAAATCAAAAAATAAAACGAGAAATTCAAAAACAAAACCTCAACGACTGGCAAGAAAAGTAATTTATTACAGACCTCATTTAAAGTGCACCTACCAGTTTGAGATCTTAAAAATCCAAAACAACTCTCAAGATAGAAACGAAGCCATAAGTGCCATAGTTTTTTAAAATATTTACAGCTCTACAGAGGTGTGAGTGACACATAGCGAGCTACACAAAATTGGTACGTTTGACACAGGGACACACCTGCAAAAACACCATCACCCCAAGTTTCCTGGGCCTCTCTCACACGGCCACCCACTCACCCTCATACCTCCACGACCACGGACTTGCCTCTGTCACCGCAGGTCAGGCTGCACCTCCTGGAATTTTATGTGAGTGGAGCCGTGTGGCAGACACTCCTTCTGGTCTGGCTTTTCACTGTACACTATCATTCTGAGACCCACCCATCTAACAGCGTGTTATAGCGTGCTATAGCGTGCTTCCATTCCTCCTCGTGCTGAGAAGTACTCTGTGATGCGGATGTGCCAGTTTCCTCACCCACTCGTCTGCGATGAACGCTGGAGCTGTTTCCAGTTTGGGGCTATTACAAACGACCCTGCCGTGACCGTTCGTGTGAGGTCTCTGTGTGGACACGTGCTCTCACGCTGCCCAGGCAAGTGTCCAGCTGTGAAACGGCTGGACCAGACGCAGGTGTACGTGTAACTTTTCCCAAGGCGGCTGCACTGCTCCACGCCCCACCAGCAGCAGGTGAGAGTTCCGGTCTCTCCTGTCCTCACCAGCACTCGGCACAGTCAGTCTTCAGGTGAACCGAGACTGAGAAGGTACAGTGTATTTCCCTCTGGTGTTAACCTGCTTTGCCCAGATGACTAATGACAACGAGCACCTTTTCAGGTGCCTATTTGCTGTCTATGTCATCTTTCTTGAAGTGTCTTTTCAAATCTTTTTTCTGTCCATTTAAAAAATTGAATTGTTTTCTTACTGAGTTCCAAGAGTTCTACTGTAATTTGGAGACAAATCCTCATATGTATAAATAATTTCCACCTATCTTCTTCGGTCTTTGGTTTGTCTTTTCATTGTCTTAACAATGTCTTTGGCAGAGCAAACATTTCTATTCTGATTAAGTCCGATTTATCACCTTACCCTTCTATGGAGTGTGCATTTAATGACGTATCTAAGAAAGCTTTGCCTATCCTGAGTCACAAAGGTTTTTTATCCTAGTGTGACAGTTTTAGGTTTTACCTTTAGGTCTTGGATGCATTTTGGGCTAATTTTTGCATATCATATGAGGTATGGATCCAAGTTCACTTTTTGGCATATGGATAACCCAATTATTACAGCATTGTTACTGAAAGACTATCCCCTCTCCACTAAATTGCCTTGGAACCTGCCAGAGGTCAGTTTTCTGTGTGTGGGGGTCGCTTTTGGACTCTCTTTTGTCCCACTCATCTGTCCTCCTGCCAACATCACCCCGTCTCCATCACCGTAGCTACACAGTAAAGTCTCTACACCAGGGAGTGCCAGTCTCTCAACTCTGCTACGCAAAGTTATGGCTGCTCTAGATCCTTTGCATTTCCATGTAAATTTTAGAATCAGTTTGTCAATTTCTACAAGAAAGTCTTCAAGGATTTTGATTAAAAGATTTTGATATTAAAAATTCAAAACAATTCTAAAGATAGAAATGTAACTATGATGTGTCAGAATTTAAAGGGTATGGGCTGGGTGCGGTGGCTCATTCCTGTAATCCCAGCACTCTGGGAGGCCGAGGCAGGAGGGTCGCTTGAGGCCAGGAGTTTGAGACTAGCCTAAGCAAGAGTGATCCCGTTCTCTACAAAAAATAGAAAGAAATTAGCTGGGTGTGGTGGCACGTGCCTGTAGTCCCAGCTACTCAGGAGGCTGAGGCAGGAGGATTGCTTAAGCCCAAGAGTTTGAGGATACAGTGAGCTAGGCTGATGCCAAGCCCCTGCAATACAGTGAGACCCTGTCTCAAAAAAAAAAAAGAATTTAAAGTGTATGTTTTAATAAAAAGAACAGTTTGTACCATGAGACCCCATTTACAACATACTCGTTACTTTTTCTGTTTTTATGCTATATTCAAGAATGAGTTCCAAACCATTCAAATTCTCGTCTGTTTAAATGAGCTTATCATAATTTTGTAAAAAACAAACAAAAAGCCCAAAAAGCTCACCTTTTCTTTCTGATGGATGACACACCCACTGTGGAAAGTTTGTGGAATGAGGGAAACACGCAGTCAGGAGTGGGTGGGGTGGGACCTGCTACCACTGCAGCAGACCAGCTCCACAGACATGTGGGACTACAGGATGCTTTCAGGGAAGTACTGGACCGTACTGGTACAGTCATGTATCGCTACATGGTGGGGACGCATGACAGAAATGCGTTGTTAGGTGACTCTGCCCTTGTGTGGACACCCTCGAGTGCACGTACACAGACCTAGCTGGCATAGTCCGCCACATGCCCAGGCCACGTGGTCTAGCCTACTGCACACCCAGGCTGGATGGGCTAGCCTACTGCTCCCAGGCACACACCTGTGCGGCATGTTACTGAGCACTGTAGGCAGTTTTAAGACATTGGTAAGTATTTATGTATCTAAATATAGAAAACCTACACTAAAAACACAGTATAATAATCTCACGGGACTATTGTCATATTACGTGGTCTGTAGTTGACTGAAACACAGTTATGCAGCAGGTGACTGTATGAGGTTCTGAAGCTGTTTTTCTGTCCGTAATAAAGCAGACATAAAATCCTTCTAGAACAGGGGTAAGCACACTGCGGCTCACAAGCCGAATCTGACCTTGCTGCCTATCTTTATAAATAAAGTCTTACTAGGACACAGCCTCATTCACTTACCGCTGTCCCACGGCTGCTTTTACACAGTGACGGCAGAGAGGAACAATTGTGACAGACACTACGTGGCCTGCAAAACTAAAACACTATCTGGCCTTTTACAGAAAAAGGTTTGCCAACTCTTATTCCAGACTCTAGAATTGTACTTTCCAGTACAGTAGCTGCTAGAACATATGGCTCTTTAAATTTAAGTTCATTAAATTTAAATGCAACGGACCGTTCTGTTCCTTAGTGGTACTGGCCACATTTCAAGTGCTCGATAACCATATGTGGCCAGTGGCTACTGTACAGCACAGAGAGTGTCTGTTACCACAGGATGTTCCACTGGCCAGACATGCCCTAGAAAACCAGAGAAGACTCTAGAGGATGACTTTAGCCACATGGAATAGAGCATTAGAATTTACTGACCCAACTGTCTCCAACGTTCTTATAACTAACACTATGATGGACATCTTTGTATGTAAATATTCTTATACATCTCTGATTGCTTAACTTGGATAAATGCTAGGATAAATCACTGGGCCACCAGGCATTGGCATCTAGTGTCCTGAAACGCACCACGCAGCTGCTCCACGGGAAGCCTGCACCCATCCACGCTCGGACATGTGGATATGAGCTCAGGACTATTTTTTAAAAATGGTTTTTCATTCTGTTTGTTTTGACTTTTTCCCCTGGAGCACAGACAGGTAGTTGTGACGTCTGCGAGTGCACAACTGCATTTACTAGCCCACCTGCTGCTGCAGCAGGCAGGTGCTGCGACGGTGCTCGCACACGACTTCACTCACGTGGGTGGGCAGGGCCACAGGATCGACAGAATCCCTAATGCCACAGGATTTCCATGTCAAAGTACATATGTGTATTTCTTTACCTAAATTTTTAGCATTTTTAAGCATTATTTGCCTAACAGGTCCAAGACTATGCTTAGAAACAAAAAGGATGTGCTGAACACCAGGCTGAAATCAACCGCCTGGGTTACGGGATGAATTCAAACAACTGGTACCTCAAACCTTCCAAAATAGCAATTTCCAAAATTACCAGCCTGACAGAATTCAACCTTCTCTCTCTGTGTGTCCCCAAAGTGGTTTCCTGGTGAATGTATCCATAAAGTAAACAGAACTGAGGCATAAACAATCTTATCTTGTACTGAAAATCATCCAAATCCACTGAGAAGGACAAGTGAGAGGGCCTGGGGCAAAGGTGCTTCCCCCAAGAAGGGCCTGGCCTCTCCCCTCCAGCAGCTCCTGTTTTCCAGACCTGGTCAGACTGGTCGCCCCTGGAACCCTGTTATCAGGTCTCGTCCTCCCCTGGGAAGGCCTCACTGGTCCTGCCGACTGACGCCCGCGTGCTGCTCAGGTGCAGAAGCAGGATGGGGCGTTCAACTCCCTTTCTGTGGGGACATCCTCAATAGATATGCACCAAAGGCACAGATTGTTAGAATTGATCCCGGCCTCAGCACGGTTCTTTTTTTTTATTTTTTTTATTTCAGCATATTATGGGGGTACAGATGTTTAGGTTACGTATGTTGCCCTTGCCCCTCCCCGCCCCCCTCGCCCCCTAAGTCCGAGTTTCAAATATGTCCATCCTTTGGGTGGTGTGCATTGCACTCTTGGTGTATGCAAATACCCGTCCCCTCCTCCCTCCTCCCC